TAATCCCAGCACTTTGGGAGTCTGAGGGGGGCGGATCACGAGATGAGAAGATGGAGACCATCCTGGCCAACATGGTAAAACCCTGTCTCTACTAAAAATACAAAAATTAGCTGGGCGTGGTGGCACATGCCTGTAATCCCAGCTACTCGGGAGGCTGAGGCAGGAGAATTACCTGAACCAGGGAGTCGGAGGTTGCAGTGAGCTGAGATCTCGCCACTGCACTCCAGCCTGGGCGACAGAGCGAGACTCAGTCTCAAAAATCAATAAGTAAATAAAAATATGTAAAGTACTCATAACACAATAATAGACAAATAATTTTAAAATTGGCAAAATATCTCATACACATTTCTCTAAAGATATACAAATGGACCATAAGTACATGAAAAGATGTTTAACATCATCAGTCATCAGGGAAATGCAAAACAAAACCATAATAAGATTTCACTTCATACCCAGTAGGATGGCTATAATTAAAAAGCCAGGTAATAACAAGTGTTGACAAGAATGTGGAGAAATTACAACCTTCATACATTGTTGTTGGAAATGTAGAAGGTTGCAGCCACTATGGAAAACAGTCTGACAGTTCCTCAAAAAGGTAAACATAAAATTATCATATGACTCAGCAATTCTACTCCTAGGCATAAATCCATTAGAATTGAAAACATATGTTCACACAAAAACTTGTACAGGAGTGTTTGTTGCAGCACTATTATAATAGCAAAGAAATGGGTAAACCCCAAATGCTCATTAACTGAAGAATAGATAAACAAAATGTGGCATATGCATACAATCGAATATATATTATTCAGCAATTGAAATATATATTATTTGACAATAAAATGGAACAAAGTACTGATACATGCTACAATATGAATGAACCTCCAAAATATTATGTTAAGGGAGGGAAGCCAGTCACAAAAGACCACATGGTATACGATGCTATTTGTATGAACCGCCCAGAATAGACAAATCCACAGAGACAGAAGGTGGATTAGCGATTGCCTAGTGTTGGGGGTGTGGGGGTGAAAGAATAGGGAATCATTGCTAATGGGTATGGATCTTCATTTGGGGGTGATGAAAATGTTCTAAGATTGGTTGTTGTCATAGTTGCACAACTCTGTGAGCATACTATTCATAAAACTCGTTGGACTGCACACTTTAAATTGGTCAATTGTGTATGAATTATACAATCATAAAGTTGTAAAAAAGTAACCTAGCATACACTGATAGCCGGTGATATGAGTTTATTTTCACATGTAACTGCAAAGAAAAGCAGAGGCAAAGAATAACCTAGTCATTTCCCAGTAAAGCAAAGGCTACATCAAGGTTCATTCTTACGTAGCCACTTCCTAAACTGTAGTTCTGCTTACCCTTAAGATGTATCAGAAACTCTATGTATCCAAATAGAAAAATTATCAGTGCCCTCAAGGGCAAAGGATGCCATTCCAGGGCAATCATTTGTTTGTTGAATTTGGACCCCAGGTGGCTGAGAATTGAGTTGATCATATTTCTGAGTTCTTAGTATATTTTCATTATCATTACAGGCAAGGTCCCTCTCTCTCTCTTCACCCCCATTTCTCTCTCTCTCTCTCTCTCTCTCTCTCTCTCTCTCTTTCTTCTTCTATGATCCCTACCCCTATTTTCTTCTCCCACCTCAGGCACCCACTTTGATCTATTTAATATTGTCCTTAAACATGCTGATATCTTTGTAAGTTATCTGCTGGTGTTTATGTATTACGTACTTTTTAGCTGTTAATTTCTTGATAAAATTTGTTCTGTATTTAGTGGCTACATAATTTGCACAGTGGCATTGACTCCCCTCATGGTAGAGACTAGGTGTTCCAAGTTCTGATTAGCCTGTTCTGGCCCTCAGTGTTCTGTTCTCATTAATCTTAGTGTTCTGTTCTCAAAATCTCATTTTGTCCTTGACATGCCCCTCTCCCAGGACAAACAGGACAGTTTGTTATATAAAATGTTTTCTTTCATTTTAAAGACTTCCTCCCCTGTGATAGGATGTTTCCCTGTGCTGGGAGAACCATAGAGCAGTAGTTAAGTAAAGAGACTCTGAAATGTGACTACCTAAGTTTAAAACATAGTTCTACCACTTACCAGCCTGTAACTTTGGGTAACGCACTTAACCTATCCGTGCCTCAGTTGCTTCATCTTTAAAATTAGAATGATGTTAATAATAGTGCTCACCTCTGGATTGTTATGAGGCTTTTATGAGTTAATATCTGCAAAGTACAAACAACAGTGCTGGTACATAATCAAAGTCATATTATTTGCCATTGTTGGATTCCCAAGTTGTCAGTTCCAGGATCTTCTGGTGAAACAATAATTTATTCACACTCAGTAAGGTGGACAGAGTGTAGATGCTAGGCCCAATGACAAACAAATCTAGAGAACATCAGGCAGTGGTCTTTAGGAGGCCTGTCAACACTTGGCAGGAACAGCATACCTGGGAAGGTGGCGGGACCAAATGATAGGAGCCACACTCCCGGGAGGGGACTGGAGCAATAAGTGTAAAGTGATTTGAAGTGGGGACAACCCTACTATAAATGGTAAACAAGGTGGGCACTCAGACTAGGAGAATGGGGTGCTGGAACACTGTGGAGAAGGAGTCATGAGTGTCCACAGTAACAGAAAACCCAGTCCTGGAGACATCATTGTACCCCACTGTAAGCCCAGGAAGACAGAAAGGGAGAGAATGAGGTAGAGCTTACAATGGATCTATGCTTGTTGGTAACCCTGTTTTAAAGAAATAATCACCAAATACTTCAGAATTGAAAACTATCACTTATTCTATTTTAGTTTATCTCATTCTCTTTTCCTAAAGGTGTATGGTATATGCATTTTAAATTGAATTGCATTAAAATCTTATTTGTATCATTTTCCTAATACTCTTTGAAACAATTGGAGTTGTCCCAGCATGTTGAAAACAGCCCTGGAAATGAGCTACCCTAGGCTTTTACTGTGGGGAAAAAAAGATAGTGAATGATATCAAAAGACTTTCTTACCTGTGAAAGTAAAAACTTTTGACATGGAGCATTTAAAGTCAAATTTATACCTATTTCTCCAAGTTTTTGCCAGACAAGATCTCTCACGCAGATATATTAAAATGAGTAAAGAGCTTAGAGTTCTTATTAGGGCTGGAGTATACAAATATGATCGAGAGAAGATGTTAATTCACCATACTTGAATCCATCTGTTAACTTACTGACAAAACCACATCTAAGTCCAGTGTTTTAATGTTTTCTGAATTCTAGAGTTTGAAATGAGGGTGAGGGAAGAAGAGACCTAGAACTGTTTTCTTTCTTTCTTCATCTTTCAATTCTGACCACCTTTCACACTTCCACAGAAATGAGAGGGGAAAGAGAAAGAAAAATAACCCAACAAACTAAGAGGTGGTTTTGGAACCTTTACTTGGTTTCAACAACTCAGCAAGATTAAATTACTAAACAATGAATGTGTTCTGCCCCGCCCCCCGCCAAAAAAGTCCAAAACACAACATCAGGAATCATAATGACAGTCTGCTCTTACTTCAACACTCAAATAAAGCACAACTAGTTTGACACTAGACTGAAGAGAAAGAGGTCCCCTGTAGCCTTCTGGATAAATATAGTATAATGAATGACACCCACAAAAACATGACCATAGTAGACATAGCCACTGTTGCGTAGGATGGCTTTTTAAAAATAGTCCTTAACATAGGTCACTGACATCACAAAACAGAACAATTTAGTAAAAATAATTCCAAGGTGGCCACTGTGAAGCAATTCAAGTAATAGTTGCTACCTATTGGTCTGGCATAAATCAGGAAGATGTTTTAGACTCTAAAGTAGAGCAATCCCCAAGCTTTGTCCTCTGTCCTCTTGGGGGTAGAGTAGAAAATGGAGGTGTTGCCTCATAGGTGGGAATTGAACAATGAGATCACTTGGATACAGGAAGGAGAACATCACACACCGGGGCCTATTGTGGGGAGGGGGTAGCGGGGAGGGATAGCATTAGGAGATATACCTAATGTAAATGACGAGTTAATGGGTGCAGCACACCAATATGGCACACGTATACATATGTAACAAACCTGCACGTTGTGCACATGTACCCTAGAACTTAAAGTATAATAAAAAAGAAAGAAAGAAAAGGGAGGTGTTGCTGCAAGGAGTCCCCCCTCTGGCATCCATCTGAACACTAAGGATTGTCAGTAAAATGAACGAATGATATGTCTTCATCTGTGTGGACATCAACAGAATACAAACTCATTTTAAAATGTTACTCAATATTGATCATTACTGAAGCTGAGTAATGGTTACATGAGGCTCCTTGCATTTAAGGAACCTCTTTACTTTTGTGTATGTTTGAAATTTTCTGTAAGAAAAAAGTTTTAAAATAGTGTTATTGAATTGATTGTATATTTCAAATGTTTTCTCAACCAATGGTAATACCTCCCTCCACCTGTTATAGTAGAGGCCTGAAAAACTTATCACCTTAGAAAGAGATTTCCATCTTCAAAATGTTTTGGAGAAACTGCTACACAGTGTGACCTCTAATGTGAGATGTGTGTGCACTCTGTGGTGATTGCAACATGATCCATTTGAACTAGTATTTGTATTAATTTTTAATCTTAAAATAAGAAAAATTTTATTAATACCTAATATCAATAAATATTAACAAGATTGACTCTGGTGTTCTCAATCTGCAGATTTGTCAGGGAAATATGCCCTTTTAACAATCAGTGAAAAAGTAAGTGCCTTTCTTTTTTTTCTTTTAGACAGAGTCTCGCTCTTTCGCCCAGGCTGGAGTGCAGTGGCACGATCTCGGCTCACTACAAGCTCCGCCTTCTGGGTTCAGGCCATTCTCCTGCCTCAGCCTCCCGAGTAGCTGGGACTACAGGTGCCCGACACCGCGCCCGGCTAATTTTTTGTATTTTTAGTAGAGACGGGGTTTCACCGTGTTAGCCAGGATGGTCTTGATCTCCTGACCTCGTGATCCACCTGCCTCGGCCTCCCAAAGTGCTGGGATTACAGGCGTGAGCCACTGCGCCTGGCCAAGTAAGTGCCTTTCAAAGGAAATGTGCCATACAGAGAGAATTTGAAAACAGATATGTGGAGATACCTTCATCAGCTTGTGACTTTGTTGCTGAAAACTATGTGTGTCACTTCTTTTCCATATATATATATGGAAAATTTATATATATATATAAAAATTTGAGCAGATTTGCTGTGTGTAATTATATAACATGTATTAAAATATATATTAAATATATGCTTTAAGTATTGACATTATATTCATGTACTGCTGTTCTAATATACACATATAAGGCATGAAAAACGGAACATTTAAAAGTATAAGATTATATATATATATATATATATATAGTAACAGGATATGTTTAACTTGCCTGAAACACCCTACTCCGATAGCTTGAACTCATTTGTAAAAATACTTTAGTTTGGGCCGGGCTCGGTGGCTCACGCTTGTAATCCCAGCACTCTGGGAGGCTGAGGCGGGCGAATCACGAGATCGGGGGTTCGAGACCAGCCTTGCCAACATGGTGAAACCCCGTCTCTACCAAAAATACAAAAATTAGCCGGGTATGGTGGTGCATGCCTGTAATCCTAGCTACTCAGGAGGCTGAGGCAGGAGAACTGCTTGAACCCGGGAGGCGGAGGTTGCAGTGAGCCAAGATCGCCCTACTACACTCCAGCCTGGGTGACACAGCGAGACTCCGTCTCAAAAGAAAAAAAAAAAAAATGTACTTTGCAGGGACCACTGAATGATGGCAGGGAGAGCGAAAATTTAATAGTCAAATTTCAACAAAAATCTTTGCATAACTGCAAAGTGAGGCTGAAAAATTAACATAATTTATTGAGCACTGCCACTGTCATACTACATCCATTTACATCTATGAATCTTTGTAAGTTATTATTTTCGGCTATAACATCCATTCAAGCCAAGGGTCAGTTTAAACTGAACTCAGTATTCTAAAATGTTAAACCATGATTTCAAAATTAATAAGGCATATTCAGTCACATTGTTCTCACTAAAATATTAATATTATCATGTTTCAAATAAGATATAAATTGTATATGTATATACTATCAAATAAAATATATTTTAAAATATTACTTCATATTTATCTTATATTTTTAAAAGTTGTTTTTCATGTTTTATAATGTGTATATTAGAACAGCAGTACATGAATATAATGTCAATACTTAAAGCATATGTTTAATATATATTTTAATACATGTTATATAATTACACACAGCAAATCTGCTCAAATTTTAATATGTATACAAATCCTCCTGGGATCTTGTTACAGTGCAGTTTCTGATTCAGTGGGTGTAGATCAGGCAGAGATTCTGCATTTCTAACTAGCTCCCAGGCGATCCTGATGCTCCTTGTTCTAAGACCACACTTAGAGCAGCAAGGTCATGGGGGCGGGGGTGTGGGCTCCATTGTGTTTTACTGACAGGATTGCACAATAAAAAATATTTGGAGATGCCTGGGGAATGAATGGAGTACACTTCCTTCAGGTTATCCCCGCTTAACCACTGCTTCTCTCAGGGGAGTTTTTGGCAGGTACTATGAACAAATGTGAACCTGAAATAGGCAATACTTCAAAATGGATCCTGAGTGGCTAACTGGGCCTAAATTTTAAATAGAGCCAAGTGGGGCCATCTGCCAACTAAAGGTCAGAGGTCTCAAGTTCCTCCAAAACCCACACGACTGTTCAACTTTGGGACTTCCAGAGCTCACCTGAACCAACCAATCAGAGGCCATCTGCCTTGACCAATTATGACTTAGCTGCCTCAACCAATCAGGGCTCAGTTGCCTTGACCAGTCAGGGCTCAGTTCTATCAACCAATCAGAACCAGGTGAGTTTGAATACTTCATTTGCATAAATTTTTGCTATAAAAGTAGAACCCTACCTTTGCTCTCTGGAACACACCTTCGTTTTACACCTAAGGTTGTGTGTCTCTGGTGTCCAAACTGTTCTCTGGAATAGTCTCTTTCCTTGGAGCTAAGAGCAGTGACTCATGCCTGTAATTCCAGCCCTTTGGGAGGCCGAGGTTGGCCAGGAATTCAAGACTAGCCTGGGCAACATGGCAAAACCATGTCTCTACAAAAAAAATTTTTTTAATTAGCCCTGAGCCTGGTGGCAGTCGCTTGTAGTCCCAGCTACTGTGGAGCCTGAGGTGGGAGGATCACTTGAGCCCAGGAGGTCAAGGCTGTAGTAGCTGAGATGGTGCCACTGCACTACAGCCTGGGCAACAGAGTGAGACCTTGTTTCCAAAAAAAAAAAAAAAAAAAAGTCTCTTTCCTCCAAATTCCTTTTTATTTTTAATAATTTTGTTTTATTTTTTATTCAAGACAGGGTCTCACTCGTTTGCCCAGGATGGAGTGTAGTGGTGCAATCACAGCTCACTGCAGCCACAGCCTCTGGGGCTATAGCTATACTCTGACCTCAGCCTCCAGAGTAGTTGGGACTACAGGCACTAGGTACCATGCTGGAGTAATTTTGTGTGTGTGTGTGTGTGGAGGCGGGGTCTCGCTTTGTGGCCCCTTTTCAGAGAACTTTTGTTCACAATACTGAGCTACAATGATAGTGGTTCTGCTCCCTGACAAATAGCTGAATGCAGCTAGTCCCTGCAGTTTTGCCAGTCAGTTGAACTAGGATAGGATTAACATGCTCATGTGTAAACTGATGTGACCAACAAGGCCACATGCTCCAGCATGGAACTGAAGGATAATAGTTGCTTCTGCCTCGTAAGACTGATGTGACGATGAAATGAGATAAGATGTGTAACGTACTTTGCAGATACAGTGCTTGATAAAGTGCAGCTATTATTGTTGGAGGTAAGGCTGCCTACAGTCCGGACCAAGATTCTCTTCAGGCAATTATTATTATTATTATTACTGAGGGTCTCCCTCTGTTGCCCAGACTGGAGTGCAGTGGCACAATCTCAGCACTCTGCAACCTCTGCCTCCCAGGCTCAAGCATTCTTGTTCCTCAGCCTCCTGAGTAGCTGGAATTATAGGTTTGAACCACCATGCCTGGCTAATTTTTGTATTTTTAGTTTTGCGACGTTGGCCATGGCAAAACTAAACTCCTGACCTCAAGCTCAAGTGATATGCCCTCTTTGGCCTCCCAAAGTGCTGGGATTACAAGCATGAGCCACCACGCCCTTCCCAGACAATTATTTTGAATCTTCTTTAACACCAAGACAAATAGGGCATAAAGCATGACTTAAAATTTTTTAACCTGGAAATACTTTAAAGTAGTTGTAACCCGCTAAGCTATTAAAGACAAACAAACAACAACACATGTGTAGAAATTCCATAAGCACTCATATATTACCTGGCTTTGAGAAACATAATTTACTTTTGTCCTTTCAGATAAGCCAGCTGCAGAATATATCCTGAAGTACCTGCTTTATGGAATTATTCACACTATTCACCAACAAGAAGGTGGGAACATCTACTGAAAATGACAAATTTATTTTTAGGAAAGCTGATATGTATACTTTCTTCCTAGCAGTAATTAGCTGAGCCATTTGTTTGCTAAGACCACTCTGAGCTTCTGAAAATAGTATCATTTGCATACAGGATAATTTTTATGTTTCTGTTCACTTTTATTTGATAATGTGGGCAGATTTCATATTTTAAGTCAAATGAGATGTCACCAAATTTCTATCTGGTACATGTTGGGGACATGGAAGGAAGCTTTGATTGCAAGAGCCACATTTCCCTGTTGTTTTTTAAAGTTGGTCGACATGCGAATTCATCATCAACTAGAATTAAAACCGTCTATACACTTTCAAGTATCAGTTGGCATGTTTGGTTTTAATATTGCAACCCTCAGAATCAGCTTTGTATTTTGCCCCTTTGATGGTTGAAAGGTAGGGTTTCACTTAATATATAGATCCATAAAGCTAGTTCCTTTGGAACCTAGAGCTGAGTCACTTTCCACATTGGGGAACAAAACAGTCCAAGCCAATTTAATGATTTCCAATCTTAAATACCATTGCATTTATCTAAATACAGACTTGCATGTCTATATCTTTTTTTTTTTTTAATGACTCTTTGTTTCTCATGGGACTGTGCAAGTTTCTCCCTGATTCTATTTTTTCCACTGTTTCTGTGGAAGGATGTTAGCCTCATTCTTCACCATGCTCCCTGTCTCCCTTCCTACCCCTTTCTGTCTTTAGTTGAACTCCGTGAGGGCTGAGACTGTATCTCTTTTATTAACTGCTATACCACAAACACTTAGCATAACACTTGACACAGATAATTTATCAAATAAGTATTTTTTGAGAGTTTGGGTAAAATGTTAAGACTGGATTTCCTTGGACTGATCCATGATCAGTAAAACACTCATGACCTTATCTGATATTTTCCTGTAGAATAAAGTCAGTCAATTCAGGGAGTCCCAGAACAGGAGCACATAGACACCAAACTTTGTGGGACAACAAATATAATGAAGAGCATGTTTGCTTCTTTCAAACAAGTGAGTGAACAAGGAAAATCTTTCCCAATGTATAAATATTGACTTGAAGTCCTTACCTGCTTATTGATGTAGGAATAGCCAAGTATTGATTTTGTAAATATAATTATGAGTATTTCTTTTGTTACTTAATATTCATGAAGTTAACTGTTAATGTCAAAATAGACACACTGCTCACGCCTGTAATCCCAGCACTTTGGGAGGCCGAGACGGGCGGATCACGAGGTCAGGAGATCGAGACCATCTTGGCTAACACGGTGAAACCCCGTCTCTAGTAAAAATACAAAAAATTAGCCAGGTGCGGTGGCGGGCACCTGTAGTCCCAGCTACACGGGAAGCTGAGGCAGGAGAATGGCGTGAACCTGGGAGGCGGAGCTTGCAGTGAGCCGAGATCGCGCCACTGCACTCCAGCTTGGGCGACAGAGGGAGACTCCGTCTCAATTTTAAAAAAAAGAAAAAGGAAAAAAAAAATAGACACACTACCTGTGTTCACAATTAAGGAAATCCAAACAGAGAAAGACTTGTTATCTTTTTTGTTGTCGTTGTATAAATTTAGGGGGTACAAGTGCAGTTTTGATATGTTGTATCTTACATTACCCTTCCTTGGCTTCTCAGATTTAGCCTGGATAGAGAAAAAAGGCCAGGCTGAATAGCCTGTGTTTATGTAAATCTTGATTCATGTGCCCTCTGACTCCCCAAATGATTGAGTGGGTGGAAGCACGCACATGCATTGTGCCAGTGTGTGCATAAATGCTGTCACATGTAAGGCAAGAAGCAGGGTGACATAGAAAGAGCAAGTCACAAGTTGTCAGGACTCTAAATTGAAGTTTTGTTTGTATCAGTGCCCTAAAAACCCAGAGCCACGTGAAGTCAAGGCCCTTAACACCCACCTCTCCCACATACTGAGGGGAGAATTCAGATGCCCACTGCAGTCAGCCGGTCAGACTGCACACTCCTTGCCTCCACTCCAGTTTACCCTGGGAGACCTCTCTGCTATGGCTGAATCTGAGAGAGATCCTTGAGTGTAAGATCTGGTCTTGATCACCTTTCTACCCATACCGCCCCCAAACTTGAACTTCCTGGGGTTTAACACAGTACTTAGTAGTTTCTCAATGAATGTTCACAGAACGAATTAAGGAATGAACGAATGTTGCTCTGGACAAAGCTGCACCTTCCACATCCTGCGTAACTACACTCAGTACTGACCCTGAAGATAGGAAAAGCAATACAGCTGGTGCTGTAAGAAAATGTTTCTTGTTTATACTGCTGCATCTTGATCTTTGGCTGATCTAAGCACAAAGAGAGCTCTTTCAGTTAGAAAAAAGGAGGTTTATGGTGTGTGGGAGAGCTAAGAACAATGGACTCAATTGAGAGACTGGAGATGCTCTCAGCTTCTAAGAGCCTAGAAACTCCATCTATAGATTCATCCCAGAGGGCAGAGCCAAATCAGGGCAGATGGAAAACATAGCTTTCTTGGGAACTGGCTTTCAGTTCCTCTGAGGCAAAAATACAATCACTCTGTAGCACCCTGAATCAATTCTCCAAAATATGGTGCTATGTCCTTGTTTGCCAGTGTCTTAAAATAAGTCCCTGTCATATTTTTATTCTTTATGTCTTAAAGTCATTCAACCACACTTGCTTGCAGAATATTAATTGTGGTTAAGCAGAAATCAGGAAATTAAATTGAAACTGCTTTTGAACGGAGCTCCTTAACTGATGACTGATTTGTTATCCTTCCAGCTAAAGATTCCTTTCTCTCCAATCTTTTGTCAACTGCAACTGTGAGGCAATGAATCTGCAGCTGATTTTAAGTCAGCTTTCTTTAAGCTGGTCATCAGAGTGCTGTCCAAGGGTGCCAAATTCTAACCTAGGGTTGTGAAAGGGCTTTAATGCTGTGTCCCCGGTGAGCTAGTAGGCTGGCCATCCAGGGTGGTAGGTGTCACTAATTTATTTTAGTACTGCCCTGCCACAGCCTGTTTACATTTACATTGCCTTTTACATACCTGCTCTGTCCTTTAAGTACTAAACCTTCCATCCAGTACTATTCAAATAAAACTAAATATTAGTCACGTATGAATTACTGAGGAATAATTACTGGAACATCCAAACAATTTAAAGAGAAGGTAACAATAACTTAAATCTAAATGCACCGGGAACTGGGGCACCACTATGGTATTGACAAAGTAACCATGGTTGACTCTGAACACTCTAAAATCCAACTTCGAAGAGAAAAGAAACCTTTAAGTAGGCAATAAACTGGTTTCAACATCTGTGTTTTAACACAAGCTCAGACATGTATTTATTGAATTTTTTGGGCAAATTACTTTGCTTCTATTTCTTAGTGTCTTCAACTATAAAAATAGAAGTAATCTATTCATCTACTATTTATTTCAGAGAAATGTTATGAGAATGACTTGGATGACCTGAAAAATGAATGAGCTCCTTGAACAAGGTACGGTTATTAAGTTTCTATTGTGAAGTCAAATAGAACAATTCACTCAAAGGACACGATGTTTGATTGAGAACATTCTTAATTTTATTTTCTTTAATTTTATAAAATACACTTTGTAAGATAAGTTTCTAAAAGTTTATCCTTTATGTGTGTTAAAATTGCAATTCTATATCAGAAATGAAGGAAACACTTTCAGTTGATTAACTCTCTTTGTGTGTGTATATATGTGTATGTATGCATGTGAGGTTTTCAGGGAAGGGTTGGTTATTTGTTATGTTATTAAATCAAAACAAAACGCAAGGTACGGATTACTTCACTGTCCTTTATCTTGATTGGTTTCTTACAAAACATTTTCCCTCTCCTCCCTCTATGCAGCCTGGAAGCTTATCTTGTATACTGGTTTGAAAACAAGTATCAAGTGTCTTTTTGTAAAGATCTTACATCTCCTTAAATATTTCTGAAACCACTTTGGGGGAAAAGAACAATACAACTCTTTACAACAAAAGAGCTATAGTACAAATCTTTCCTTCAATTAAAACCAATCAGACTTTTTTTTTTTAACCCAAAGTTAACAAAAACAGGAAAAGACTGAAATCTGGGAGCTATTCAAGTTTCAAACTCTTTCTGCCTGTACTTTTTCCTGGAAGCTTACCAACTGAATAGCTGATGACTGGTGCATTCTGTTATGTGATCTATATCAGGAGAAAATAACCTTTATGTTAAACCTAACTCTTAACACACCAAGATAACACTGCTAAGTAAAATCATTTTCCATTAGCTAGAAAGAACGATTAGATTACTCAAATTGAGATTCAAATTCACCAAATCTGTTTCTGCAAAGGCAGAATACTTGTAGAAAATCCCAATAGATTCATTTAACTAGCCAATTTTTAGTATGATTTGTGATGCTTAATGTCCAATTTTCCTACTTTAAAAAAGAGTCATAATCAAATAATTATTCTCCAGACACTTCTGATGCAACCCCAAATAAGTAATAAACAAACTGGAATACACGAAATGTGCATCATTCTAAAACAAATCAAGATCTTCAAATCCCCTACGATGACTGAATGGATAATACCCCATGAAAAGAGCACCATTGTGAAGATATGACAGAGGCCAGAGTACACAACTAATTAAAGAAAAAAAGACATGCTATCCAAAGAGTTATCTATCCTGTGTCTACCAGAGGGCCATCTCAGGTTACACCGTTAGCCACCAGCAACTGCTGCTCTTTAGGCCAGTCTGTTTTCATGTAAGCTAGTTTCCTTCTATTCTCAGCTCCTTGGAAACCACAGGGTTGTCATGGTAGCTGTTATCAAGGAGAAGGGAGTGAGAAGATGCTGACAACACCCTGTTTCTCTTCCCTAACGAGGTGTAAGGCCAGATGCCCCCTTCGTCTACACAGATTCTATGCTCCCTTATGCTGTAAGTAAGGTTGGCTGAGTTAGGGCTTCAGTAGTCCATCACCATCGGGGTCAGTGCTCTCTTTCTGTGGGTGAAAGATCCTTGCTTTGACCCCCTTCTCCCAGCTGCAATAGGCAGATTTGGGCAAACGCTCTTATTGTTTTTCTGACATTCTTTTTTCTTCTGTCTTCAGTGGTAATAGGGAGACCAGAGTGAATTCTGTTTTGTACACCAAAGAGAATATATTTGGCCCCTATAAATGGCAAGGGGACCAAAGACATTCCTTCTCTGTACCTGAGCATCTTTCCTTCCACTTTGTTTCCATCAGTGGAAGTACTCTTTGAGAAGAAATTACTTTCTGATCCTCAGGAGATGCTTGAAAATTCAATTAGAGCCTCCATTCCTTTGTGACTTGCAGTTGGGGAGTCATCTTCTTAGGCATTTCCCATTTCTAGCAGGAACCAGCTGTGAAGCAAAATGACTAAAAGAGGTACATAAGAGGGGAGAGTCCAAAGAGAGACCTTAATCACTGCAAGACTCTCCTTTCTTGTTACACTCGTCAAGTAAGAAGAGGGCCAGTCGGTGGCAAAGGCAAAGAGTTAAGATGGGAGACGCAGCATTGTAGGCTGTGTGGTTAGAGCCTCGCTATTAGAGAAAGGGGGATTTCTATGGGGGATCAGAACTTGGTGCCTCGGCCCATGAGTTTAAGGACGGCAAAGTTGTAAGTGGCAGCAATCATGAAGGTGAGCTGTAGGGAACAGAAGAGAGAATGTGAATGAGAGTAGAAAAGAAAGAATGCCCTCCTCAGATCCCTTTGGGAATGAGGAAGGGTAGAAATAAAATCATAACTAAATAAGGGAAAAACTCCTGCTCTGCAAAAAATAGTACATCCCAGGCTTGGCTTTCTCCATATACACTTGACTGGAAGTCCGATGTCTCCGAGGCATCATGGGTCTCACGGCCCAGGCCCAGAGAATCAAATCATAAAGATTTATTCCACACCTCTGTTTGATCTAGCACTGAGTTTTCCTCAGGGAAGTGAACAATATTTGGGCTTTGCCACATCCGTATGTCCGAGTGACTTAGAGTCATAGGGTGCTTGCTGTAGACACACAGCCACATCATGCAGTACCGCCCTCTACTGGTTAATGAATCAATTTATTTTACAAGATGAGAAATTACTTGACTCTGTATAGAAACCTTAGCAGTAGGGGCCAGGAGTTCTGTGAACTCATCTTGTCTGATCACTGCTTATAAAATGACTTCAGATAAATCACTTCACCCTTCAGTGCCTTACGTTTTTAATCTGCACAATGAGCACACTACATTCACAGGGCACTGTAACACTATCAGCAAGACCTGGGACATAGCATTGTATTATAGTCAAAACAATTCTAATAATGTTAGGAGGTCCTCCCAGTAGTTCCACATGAGTAACTAAATCCATTGGAGAGTATCTAAGGTGGATTCATATTGATAGTATATAGAATTCCAGGCTATAGCAAGTCATGTTTCGTGATGTTTCAGTGTTTTGTCATTGACCTGATCAAAATGTAATGAGAATTAACCGTAATTTATGACTGCAAAGTACTTGGCAACATTACATGTTCTATAAATACTAAATATTATCGTTGTGTCTATGAATCTCTTACCCCCTCTTTCCTCATACCACTTTTCTTGTTCCTATCTAATCTGTGATGCTTTTCTGCCTTGCCAGTGCAAGTAGAAGTACGGAGCCTCTACCCTTTGCTATTTTCCCAGAAGCTTCCCTCCAGCATTTCAAGGATGGAAGCAGTCTACCTTCTTGCCTTTCAGAATAGCTGTACCCACACTATCTCAGTCCTGTTTACTTGCCAAGATCATTCAAAGTCAACTCACCAGGGAAATCAGTGTAGCTGCAGCCCCCACAAATGCAGCAATAAACAGGTGGAAGGTCATTTGGAACTGCAGGAAAATGAAAGAGGAAGAACTGTTTCTTGCAACAGCAATAATATGCCTCAGTGTAAATCATGAATACAGCTTTCTGAATGTGTTGATATCTTTCTTGTGTGCTAATTCTACATCTTTAACTAAGTTTTCACTTCCCTAAATGTGGGCCTCCCAGTCTTCAGTGTACACCATAGCACCTTGCCCATAACACCCAGAACACAGAATACTCATGAAATAGCATAGTACTCCAAAATAATGAACTGGTTCCCTACAGTTGTGCCCAGGGGTCCAAAATTTAAAGTCAATATTTTGCTTTCAAAGAAATAATTTATTGCCTTTCTCCCCAGGATTCACTTTTATTCCCCTTGCCTCATTTGTATATAATATCTGTTCTCAATACAGTGCTTTCCTTTTCAAATGTACTTATTTTACCTCTCATTTGAGATAAAGAAGTTCCAAACTGAAAATGTTTTTATAAAACCTATGAATGCCTCTGTGCACAGCCCATTTTCTTGATACGGTTTTTAACTAAAGGAATGAAAATTTTCATGTGGGGGATTTTGCCATCAGGCTCTATCTTTACCTAAAGCTACAGACTTCTCTTTTAAGAGGGGAAGGGTTGGAAAGAAAGTCTTTCTATGCAGCTCTAGGGAAAACAGGTGTTTTACCTTCTATGCTCATTGGCTCAGGCATACTTAGCCAATATGTTGTAGAAGGCAATCGGCTAATTCAAAATCCAGCAAAGAGAAACTTTTAGTCCTTAAAATTGAAGACCATGGGTGTAATTTGTATGGTATTAGCTACTCCCTTGTAAAATAACCCAAATAACCCACTCACCTCAGCTGTTTTGCAGATGGACAGAAGGTTGGAGCCACAAACCTTGCCAGGGAAAGCATTCCATGGGAGAACACCTAAGTAAGACACAAACATCAACCAGGGTAAGCTTTATGGAGTTACGGGGCCACATGGAGACTTTCCCCCAGAGCCCTTCTTCCATCTCTAATTATCCTGGCTGTAAATTTGGATTCTACCAACAATCAGGATCCTCTTTTCTACAGGTTTACAAAAAAGAGAAGGTGGTATTGAACAATGGTGAAAGCTTGTGTTTGTTATTGAAATGTGCTGCTTTGGGGTTGGGAACAGCAGTCAACTAGAGTAGGTCCATATGAACAGTCAAGAAAACTCCCACCACTTCCAAGTTCCCTTCCCAGGGAAGAAACCTCTCTGGTTTCAGTAGGAAGGATTAATAAACTAAGACCCAATCATTCATCATCTTATATTTTTCTCATAATCACCACCCTCCTTATACTAAGAAAATAACCAAATGCATAGTGCTTCCATAGTGGGTAGGAGAGCCAAAGCACCCGTGCCCTTACTCACCATACATTCTGGCATCAGCACAGAGACTGCCTATACTGGCAGAGGTCTTGCTGGGGAAGGCAATAGACTGGCAGGTGGTCCAGGTGTTGAAGTAAATGTACACAGGCACAGCAGAGCAGGCAAACACCAGGAGCCACACAACGGTCAGGGCATAGGTGATGCCCACAAACTAAAATGATTGACATGGGGTGGTTAGAAATCAGAATCAGCCTGCAGATGTAGAAACACAAACTGGGAGATCCTGGAGTGGCGTGTGCCAGACATTAAAACCAGGTTCCAGGGCTCTCCCTCAAATGAAATTAGTGAGCAGGGCACCTCTGCCAAGGGTCATTGGCAGTATCTACTAGAGAACTGGCCCCAGCATGACGGAGGGTGGGGGGAACGGGTAGGGGAGGAGTGAGGAGGATCCCTGGGTTAGAGAGGCTTCAGAGGATGTTTTTGGGCAGATAAGGTGTAAAGAAATCAAAACAGATCTTGAAAGAAAGTCGTGCCGTTTTGTGCCTTAGGCTGAGCTTAGAAAATGTTCCTTGCCACAGGAACATTTTTGTTCCCTAGTCATTGAACAAAGCCAATAGGAGATTAAAATTTCAGATACAAAACCTTTCTAAGCTAACTGCTGGCCACAAAAAGACATTGCTAGAACCCACACACGTTCAGCCCCCAAAGGATCTTCAACTCCAGAGACTGAAAACAAATGTGCGCCTCACTCAAAGCATGGATAACCCTCAGGCAATGATAAAACATTCAACATGCAAACCTACTCCAATGCCCTCTGGGACCTCCAACAGCGCAGGATCCCAGAATATTGTAAATTTCATCTTGGAGTCAATTATTTAATTTTTATTATCAATCCTCCCTCTCAGATCAGGTGCCCAAGTCTCAATCACATTTTAGATTCTTGTCCAGTTAGATCTTCTCTTGTGGTCCCTGCTAGGAAGGGAGCAAAGGGATACCAACAGATGGCTTAGAAATGGTCTGATTGTACAAAGCATCCCACAAAACTCATGCTTTCCGTTTTGAGAAGAAATTTGCTTAGGGAACCTTTGAAAGGTGAGGCTAAGCCAGCTGGGCACCACGTTCTTCCTGACCTTCTTGTTCGGCTGCAGCCATCGCTTCCTCACTCAAATGCCAGGCCCCTAGAGAGGACCCAGCCTTGAGTGGGGACGAGGCCACAGACTCGCGCCCAATTTTCCCCCACCCCTTGTTATTGCCACAAAATCCTGAGGATGATCACCTTGTCGGGATGTCCTAGCCATTTTCCCAAACAATGACACACCCGCTCCAAAGAATGAGCTTGATGTTGGCCTCTGGAACCCCTCCCCTTCTGGCCCCCTGTTACCGTTGCGCTCAGGCCCTTGCCGCAGATGGTGGTCTTGTAGTCGCCAAAGATCTGCCTGACTGCGCCGGTGGTGTAGAAGCCCTCAGCCAGCAGGAGGGCCCCATAAAGGAAGAAGAAAGAGGCAGTTCCATAGATGACATACTGGAAGGCATGGATCCTGCATTAACAGGTAGACAAATGAGACCAGGGAATCTTATTAATTGAAGACCTGGTTCCTTTCCCCACATAAGTGAGGTATACACCAGAGCGAGCACCTTAACAAGGCTAGGGATTCTCTAGAGGAATCACCAGGTTCCTCCTGCATGCTTTCACCTTATCTTTGTTGAAATAAGTGAAGACAGGGTGTATGTGACCAGAAACATATGCTCCTCCCACCACACCTTGCTTACCCTGGGACCTGGAGAACCAGGGACCTACTCTCCCTGCCCGACCCTTCAGACATGCTACCTCACAGGAGTGGGGAGCTAGACAAGAAGAAATGTGGATGAAGGAACAGGAGCCTAACTTGTTCTAGGAATAGGAGAGGCTTAGTGCCTCCCTTGGTTTCTCCATACCTACTACGCTGGAGGCTCCAACTTGGGCAATATTAACTACATCTAGCAGAAGTCAGAACACGTGTAAGAAAACAAGGGGCGGGGGTGGGAGGGGCTGACAGGCAGGCAGGCAGACCTGTCCTTTCTGAATGGGTTTCGAATGTGGAGCAGGAGAGATCTGCACAGAGGGAAGACTCAGGAATCCGCTCTGGCTCCACCCCAGTCCCCTGCTAGTTACTAAGGTACTGAAGAGTTCTCTATCTCCAGGATGGAGAGAGGGAAAAAAAAGATGGGTCTGTGTGGGAGGGCAGGTACTTACACATTGATGAGATACTCATAGTCCTGGTAGTTTTTGGAGAAATAGGTCTCAATTAGCTTTTCTGTGCCAGTGAGGGCTTCATGTCCACAGCCACAGAATAGTGCCACCCCAAAGAAACACAATCCAGTGGCCACCAGGGAAGCAAAGGGGGCCCCTACCAGACATCTTGCACAGCACTCTAACAAGCCTGGGGAAGAAGAAGGGGAAACAGTCAGGCATATCCAGTAGGTAGCTCATGCCACTCAAACCTCTCTGCCACGCCAGCCAGGCCCGGTGCTCACAGGCTCAGAGACAGTGGGTACCCCAGAGTCAAAAAGCAGGAGCGGCTAGAGATTTTGGCTTTCAGCATGTGAGATTGACCCAGAATCCTTACTTTGTTTCATCCTTGAAAATAAATCTTTGGCTGGGAGCCGTGGCTCATGCCTGTAATCCCAGCACTTCGGGAGGCTGAGGCGGGTGGACCACATGAGGTCAGGAGTTCGAGACCAGCCTGGCCAACATGGCAAAACCCCATCTCTACTAAAAATACAAAAATTAGCTGGGCATGGGCACATGCCTGTAATCCCAGCTACTCAGGATTCTGAGACAGGAGAATCTGTTAAATCCGGGAGGCGGAGGTTGCTGTGAGCCAAGATTGCGCCATTGCACTCCAGCCTGGGCAAAAGAGTGAGACTCTGTCTCAAGGAAAAAAAAAAAAAAGAAAGAAAGAAAATAAATCCTTACCTTTTATTGTCAGAATTTTTAAAATATTTAATAAATAATAATAATTCAGCAATTCAAATAGCAAGCCAGAGAGATTATGAAATCAGTCCCTTCTTTCTTATTGTTCTGGTCTGTTTGTTTGCTTACTTATTTTAGTCATTCATCAACTATTTATGGAATACTCACTATATGCCCAGCATTATGCTGGGTGTTATATGGGATAAGAAGAGAGAAAAGACACAGACTCTGCCATATGGGAGTCTTTAATTTCCTGAGGAAGAATTAGCTAGGTAGACTTAATATTTTCAACTAACAATTCAGGCAGCCAAGTAAGTGGTAAGAGAGGGTAAATGCATTAGGAGTTCCAGGAAGGGATGAGTGCAGGCCAGAGATGCCGGTATTGTCAGACAGGATTTTAGCATGAAGAGCATTCCAGGTGGAAGAAACTTTGGAAATTGCATGCTCCTGGATATTTTTGAGCATCGTGTGTATTTGTTGCAAGGAATGCTTGATTCTTCTTAGTTTACATATGGGAGGAGTAGTCCAAACAGGAGGGAGCTAGCGCAGGACAGGAAATGAAAATAGGAAGATTGATATTACTTGCAATAATAAAAATGCAGGCTTAATGATTTTAGACACTTTGCATGGTGGTGTTGTCCTCCTATAATGCAGCTTGGCTAATGTCCCCACGCTCAGTTATACACTGAGATTCTGTCAAAACAGCTACAAACAGACTTTATACAAAGTCAGCAAAGCATGAAACATCTTTCTGGCACTAGAAGAACACACCAGGGCCTGGGAACACATGTGTCTTAAAGTGCTAAGAGTCCCTGAGATCCCCAGACCTGGTATCCCAGGCCCTACGCCAGTGTTGCTGAGAAACAGGAAAGGCACACAAGAAGTCACAGGCTTTGAAAGCAGCTGTGTTCCAAGTACTAGTCCCATGCTCTAAGATGTCATATGGAGTGAACCTTAGCAAATGCCAAGTAGATGACTGACTAGATGAGGAAAACAATGGCTTCCTCTGGCCTCTTGGCTAGATCCCTAAAATGTAGAAGAAATGAAAATGTTAAGCTCTTCAGAAAAAAATGTCTTAATTCATATGTATGTATATATATAAATGTATGTGTGTGTATATATATACACACACCCACTGATGTTATATATCTATAAACACAGTATACACATGCACACACACAAATACTCAGCAAATGTACTGGGAAGCTGCTATTTTTGAATAAGCAGGTTGTGACAGCTTGTACAATAAAAATAAATTGTATTAATTACTTAGGCTTGGATTTTTGTATTCAAGCATTTCTCTAAGCCACACTCACTTTTCTATAGGGTACCAGGGAAAGGGGACTCCTTTGCCTGATTCTGTTAACATTAGTTACAGTTTGTTTTTAGCCCAGAGAGCTTGAACACCTGGTGATTTGCATGGCTGAATTGCATCAATGTGAACAGATTTGGAAAGACCAAATTATCTCTGTCATGGGAAAATTGAGGTAGAGGCATTTGCCTCTGTTCTCAGAGACACAAAAGGAGTGAGTCCTATTACCCACCATCTCCTGAAATGACAGCCCTTTCCTGGCCTTCAAAGAGGCTCTTCTTCAAAGATACTTGTGTGTCACACCAAAGATGAGGCTCAGAAGCCCAAGCCAAACAAAGTAAGCAGCTAACATTTGAAACAGAACTTCCTTTTCCAAGAATTAAAGCATTGCTGCCAGGAAACTTGGCCTCTATGAGAAGCAATCTGTAGCTGTGCTGCTGTGAGTGGAGGCTGAGTTTACTCAGCATGAACTTTGCAAACGTGCTTGGGAAGAGTGTCTTTTCAGAACTGGCCCATGGATGTGCCTGTGTGTGTGCACATGCACGTGCATGCATGTGTACAAATCTGCACATACACACATGTGTACCATAGAGAAAAACGCAACAACTGAAATCGATTGTTGTTCTCAGAAAACATTCCAGAAATTGATCTTCCTTTCTCTCAACAGGTTAAAATACTAGATTCAGCCCATAAGTCAAGAAAAGGAGCTTGGAAGTAAACAGTACTGCCATTTTCCTTCTCTGCCTGTCCAACTCCTCCCCACCCCCAAACTCTTAGACTCTTCTAGTAAAGAAAGTCTCTGAAGCCTGGGAATAGGAGGAGAGGAAGGTCAGTGACCCCACTGTTCCCTTTCTCCCCAGCACAGGGTCAGGGCTTGGACAGAGCCCTCCATCGCTCCCCCGGACAAAGAAGCCTTGTTCTTTCCTGAGATCTCAGGAGCCTGATTGGTATTCCACAGGGGCCTGTAGGCCTGGGGGTGGGGAGGGGGTCAGACCCAGGGAACAATGGCAGGACTGTTTGTTTAGCCGAGGGTAAGAAGAGCCATCCACCCTAGCAAGTGACCATCTTGGGCCTATTCACTCACCCCAGCATTTTCATCCGGGAAGGGCTAAGTTGTGCAGGTATGATCAGGGATGGAGGAACTTGACCTCTTGCTAGCCAAAAGAGAACTCCACTTTAAGCTTTAGCTGATGCCACCTCCAGGGTTGCAAAGATGAGGTTGCAAAGAGATACATCCTCTTGAGTGTATCTGATCCCTCAATCATCATCCAAATGACCTGAGAGTGTCATGGATTGTGTTCTTACTGGATGATAAATGGCTAAGCCTTAGGAGCAATTCTGAGTCACCGGATCATAGCCTTTCTTTTTACATCCATTTTTCCTCTATTTTCTTAGAGCTTTAAAAACTTAGCATTCCCTTTTTCTGCTCCACTACAGCTCAAAGCAAGGGACAAGAAGGAAGTAGGCTTTAATGAGTTTCTAATGTAGTCTGAAATAAATGACTTTAGATAAATCTATCACTATTAAGCTATAAACAATTCAGTAATATCAGCATAAGCATCAGATGTTCATCTCTTCACAACCTAGATTAGTGCTTTGGGGGCATTTAAGTTCAGCAGAAGTGAAGAATCTCAGTCAGTCTGTCCAAGCAAGAATCAGATTTTAGATTCTAACTGAGAAAAACTCAGAGCCTGCAAGAAATTATTTTTTCATCAAAGTAGTTAACAATCAAAGCATTCTGAGAAAAGATCCATTGGGCTCCCTTTGATTTTTCACAGTCCAAGAAATGTCCTTGGGTATGTGTGAACAATAGCCTAAAGCCAAAGACTCTCCATTTCAGAACCCCTCCTGGTTGAAAGGGTGTGAGTTTGATTCAAGAAGGCTGGAAGGGATTCTAGAGAAGTTCCTTGGCTCTCTCAAGAGACATTCTCACATTTCCAGTCTAAGTACAGACTGCAAGATGGGAGAGTTGGCATAAAAGAACCATATAGTAATAACATTTCTCAGTGCAACTCAATTGGATTAAACGGCCTAACTTTGATGAGAGGTCATAGAGAAAAATAATGACCCCCTCCAGTGTTTTCCTTTCATTTCTGTTTATGTGAATTCAGTACAAGAATTAAGCACACTAGCAGTGACATAGACACTAGGAGAAACAGAAGGGAATTAAAAGGCCAGTCCCTTTCTTTAGAAAACTTGAAATCCTGTTGGGGCAAACAAACTGTGAATCTGTGAATCAAAATCCAAAGCCACATATAAGCAAGTGTTAAAATGGATATAACGAAGTCGTGTGGGCAAAATGTAAGCAAAGGGAACAGATCATGTCATGGTCAGCTACATTTGTATACAAACTCCCAAAACAAGTCTAATCAATCTGTGATAGGTGACACTCCAACTTTAAGCCCTTCTCATCAGTGCTCTTCACAGGGGTCTGACAGATCAACAGAACCAATGTGACTTACACAGATCCAGGTTCATCAAGGGACTGTGTTGATCCTGATGCTGTCTCTTTAAGCAGGCGCCAAAAGCTCCCAACCCTCCCTCCCTCCTTTCCCATGCCCTGGGCCCGCCTCAAGGACCAGCTCCATGATGGAAATTCAATGTGAATCTGGGAACTCATCAAAGAAAGGAGAGGAAGGGCTTTCATAGAAAGGAATGGTAGAAAGAGACCAATTGTACCCTGCACAATTCCCAGCCTGTCCCTTGAATCCAGCTGACAAAGGGAGAGATAGAAGAACCGTATACAATAGAGCTAAACAACAGGCAGGCTCATTGAGTGAGAAACTGGCCCCATCTCCCTAGGTCTCGAATCTGCACTACAGTCTTACCCTCCTCCCAGAACCCACCCCTTAACCTCACCCCATGAACAGAGGCCTCCTTGATCAGGGCCTACAGCGATTGACAAGGCTGAAATGCTAGAGTAGCCGTGACTGGTACTAGGGATGGATGGGGATCAGTGGGTGGGTTCTAGGAGTAAAACAACAATTATCAAGAGGTGCCAGAGACAAACAAAGACTTTTGCTTCTGGCCCTGTCCTGGTCAGACAATGCCCTGCCTATAATCTTGTCTTTCCTACATATCCCTTGTGATATCAGCACTTATATACCACATTCAAGTGCTGGAAAACTGTCCCGAAACCTCTAGAGCCTGGGAATCCAAGCCTGCTGGATAGTCAAATCATGTGGACAAGGTTAACTAAAAAGGAATTTCAGCCTCCTCTTTGGACACAGTTTTAGTATTACCAAGGCAACAGCATCTGGACCATCTTGTTTCCTATACTCCCCACTCCTCTTCAGACACACACACACACACACACACATACACACACACACACACACACACACAGAATGAATGATGTACACATTCCAATTTATGTGCAAGCATTGGGAAGCTGAGGTAGGACTTTGGTTATTAAAACTTATCCTTGGCACATTGTCTCCACCTTGCCCACAAATGGGAAGATGAAAGGGAAGTAACTGGTACTAGAGACAATAGTAGCCATACCTTGTTCCTCAGGTCAGTCTCCCACCATTTCCTCCTCTCTCCTTAGTTGCAGTGTGAAGCTGATTTGGGGAACCTTATTCTCTTCCTTGGGACTCTCTTCTAGAGCCCTGCCTGGCAGACAGCTCAGAGGCCAGTGCAGAGCTGAGAGATAGCCCTCAGGGCCATTTTGCAGTAGCCAAGAGGTATTAATCAATCAGTACTTGCTGAGCTTTTGATGTAAGTTTGGCACTGAGTAGGCTCTGAAAGCAAAAAAGGAAGGAAAGGCTGCTCCATTCACCTACCATGGCTGCTGTTACCCTTCCTGATCATGTGACTGTCCTCACTTGGTCTTCTTTAGACCTGAAGTGCTGTGGGCAGGGAAGGCATTTCTACTATTGCTTTTCTACTGTTGCTGTTTTTCAAGACAAAGACCTGTACCCAGGGGATGGCTTTCAAAGCTTCAGGATGAGAGACAAAAGCAACAGGGGAAAGTGATGTTACTGGCTGGAGTTTCTACCTTAATGGGTTTGGAGACTATATTTCCCCTCCCACCCACCTCCCAGGGTTGAGGTTGTTATTACTCAGATAACTCTGAGAGAGCAGTTCTAGTTATCAGCCTGTTAAGTAAACTTGTAGCTTTCCTAGCTCAGAGCTAAGCCTAAGGCCCCGGAAAGCAGGGTAGACCTTTCAATCTGCCTGGCTCTCCAAGGACTCCTCTGGCTCTGCACGGCCAAAGGGAGAAGTGAGGTGGGGAAGGCTGCACTTGATTATTTTAGTCAGTGTCTCCAGGAAGACTAGGTGAACATGCCGGCTGGGATCTGGTTTATTTTTGGCTGCTGGCATTCTTGGGGCATTCTTGCTATTTTGATGGGATTCAGTTAGTCTTCGGGCATTTTATAAAACTGGACCCCCACTCTGCTGCCACACTTTTTGCCTGGGCTACACCCACTTACTCCAAGCCAGCCAAAACTATACTGCTAGGCAAACAGCCACTTTTGGATGGAGGCATCACAGTCTGGTTACCAGGGTAACAGCCACTGTTCTCAGACGACAACAGGCTTGCAGACAATGTTTTGCTGTTCAATAATGGCATTGTGTTTCTGAGCAGAGAATAATCAGCTACTGCTCTTTGGCTCCTTTCTGGTTCCATCGTTATCCCAAAGACTCACTTGAAACATTCCCCTTCCAAATCAAGCCAAAAATTAATGAGTTATCATTTTCCCCATAAACTTTTTGTGCAGACACTACTGAATTAGTGTTCCTCCTTGCTTCCAATCCTAAGGGATTCTATATGGTTGAAGTAGTAAGTTCCCTGTTCCTGGAGGTTATTAAGCAGAGGCTGTATGAACATTTAACTGGTTGTTGTAAAAATGAATCCCGCATTGAAGGTTGGCTCAGACAACTTCTAAAGTTCCTTCCAATCCCAGATTCCATGATATAATGTGTTTACTGCAATTGTTGAACAGCAGTGCACTCCACATCAGAAGTAGTGGCAGTCCGGTACCTTGTTAGAGATCATCTATAATTCAAAGTACTTTAGATACTCTGTTATTGAATAAATGAAAACTCAGTGGCTGCTACATCATATGTACCTGGCCCAAGTATCGTCCACCCTTAGGACTGGGGACCCAATGTGCATCCTCAATGGTGCCCTTATCTGTGGCAATCTTCCTCTGGAGGAAACCATCCAGCCTCCATAACAGGCAACTGTCCCTGTGGTCACCTTATTTGTTCCTGTCTTTCCTCAGGGATTTCATCCCCTGAGGAAGTAATATTCAACATTCTTCTTTACTCCCTCTCTGTTTTTAATGCACAACCTATCCAATCAGCTGGGCTGACATTAGATAGGATTCCTGATGTTACCCAGGGCAGGAATTGAGTTCCTCCAACATTCACCTCTCATCTGGCCACACTTAATTGGTCATATGATTCTGACCCAAGCACACAAAGAAAACCCAACCACCCTGGAAAGAGGAAGAGTCAGCCTGTATACACATTATTGTCTAATAGTAGTTATTATCATGATTTACAGTTGTTATAGATCTTGCCCATTTTCAAAGGACTTCCACATTATTGTTACTTGATTCTCACAACCCTGAAAGTAGACAAAGTAGTTATTGCTATCCCCATTTTCCAGATGAGGAAGTGGTGATTCAGTGACATGACCAAGGTCACATAGTTCATAAGTAGCAGATCTGGGATTTGAATCTGATTTTTCTGACTCCCTGTCCGGTGCTCTCCCTCCTGTTTTACCTGAACACATGCTTCAAAGTGTTCTTTCTGTGTTTCATGATGAAACAACCTAAAGGCTGAACCAGCTCAATATAATTGCAAATTGATCTCTGTGGATGTTGTCTACTGGGTGCTACTTTGATAGGGAATACATAGGACAACTGAGTCTCATTTCATTTAGTATGTGTTTAAGCTGCTATCTTTGTTTTGCCAAATGTGAACAATGTCTACAGGGCTCTGTGGAGTCCAGTAGGGACAAAGACCCTTGTGCTCTGCACACATTACTCTGAGTAGAAACTACCACCAGAGCCTCATAGCTTCTGTCTTTGTTCATGGAACCTAGAAAAGCCCTCAATACTCAGTCAAATTAGCAAGAACTCTAATGTCCCAGCAGCCTCCTTGTCACAGCAGAGAGCCCTCAGGAAAACTATGTCTGTGATATCTGCTAGAAATGGTCACTCCTATAGGTGCACACACACGCACATATGCACACACACACACTCCTACCCATATCTGTTTCCCATGGTCAAGCCATTGAGGACTTTACTTTCATTTCCTGAGCCTGAGAATGGCCTCCTCAGCCATAGCCAAGCCTGAGTCCAGCTTGCTTGATCCCCAGCTTCCTATCAATGCCAAACATGGTTCAACGTTTGCATCAAGCAAGCAGTTATTTTGTACATCTGAGGGCTAGACAGTGCTCAGTGGTCTCCAGCAGAACCAGGAGGGCAAGCTGACCCGACTGTTACCAGGGCCTTGGAACCAACGGAAAAGAGAAGATAGAGGGAAGTGAGGGGGTAGGAGGACACATGACCACATCCATCCTGCTGGGCACTCTCTCCAGAGATCTGTGGGACTCTCCACGTGCTGCTGGAGTTCTTTGGTAATAAAGCATCACGCTCAGTACAGCGGAGAAGGAGTTAATCTAACTGAATGTTAAGGAATTTAAAAAGAAAACAAGTGCCAAAACACGACTCATTTAAACCATTGGAACCCCCGAACCCCAAAGTTGGAAATTCTCTTGTGAATTCCTGTGTCCGCTTGAATCTTCAATGCTAAAGTTTTTGAAACTTACCCATGTCTTTGGGACTCTGACTCCAATTGTAGCCGGCTGGCTAGTCTGCTTTGTGGCTGACTTTGTTCAGCTAGAAGAAGGATCCTGGTCTCTCCAGCCTCCTTCTTCGGTCTTTTACTTTTTCTCTCTGAGTATCTTTGTCCTCTCCTCCTGCAATGAAAAGGGCTTTCTGATTGACAGCCAACCCCCTTAAAGGGACAGGCCTGCTTTCCTCCTCCTCTCCTCCTCCCCTTCTCCTCCCCTTTTCCCCACCTCCTCAGGGATACTCCCTTCTCTAAGGGCTCCATCTTCTCTTTCTGCCTTTCACTGCCAATTGTTTCATTTTCTTTGTTTTTCCTTTTTTCCCTAAGGCTTGCCTGGAATTTCGCTTTGCTACAGAGACATCTGGAAATGTGGATTGAGGGTGGAAATAAAATGAAGATGTCCTGGAAACTTCCAACTGATCCTTGGGTCTAATTGGTGTGGGATATGCAGCACAAGCATGAGAAGCCATGAAGTGAGAGCCCCGAGAGGGGCTCAGAGTCAAAAACTTAGCTGGCTGTTAGCTCCCAAAGTCCTTCCAAATCTGCCCCAGCTCCCCACATCACTCCTAGCTGCCCTTGGTCCTCTCCACTTTTCCCCTCCCGATTCCTTGGAAAATAAGCATTCCTCACTCCCCCCCCCGCCCCGCCCAGCTCTACGAATACAATAGAGAAGAAAAAATTGTCTTTTAAGAAAATTTCCTCCAAATCCTTCTCAGTTTCAACTGCATGAAGACAAAATGCAGGCTGTCAATTCGATGAACAGATTATGATTAGGCTGGGGGAGGCTAGGATTGTAATAACTTTATAGCTATGATAATAAAGACTCAGAAGTGGGCAAGACCTATGCAAGTTCGCAGACTAGGTTAAAGAAAAGGCCAGTGTTGAAGATGTGGGTGATTTCCAAGGAGGATAATCGACTTTGAGACAAGTCAAGAGCACGATCTGGGAATCAGGTAGTCAGTATTCCATCCTGAAAATGAAATGTCTTCATCAGAGAGCTTAAGCCAGGCAGGCGAGAGGCAGGGAGTGGGTTAGAGTGAAGCAGCAGGTGGCAGTGAGGGTGGAGAGGAGAAATGAAATATAGTCCTTGTCACAGAGAAAGAATCGGTAAGACAAAAATGGCTAAGCAGTAAAAACAGGGAAATACTATATAAAACCTGCCTTAGCAATAAGTTATTTCTAAAGACTGTGAAGGTAGTTAAATGCCCAGTGCTAGATGGGATCAGCCTAGGACAGTTTTCTAGAACAGGTGAATCTTAAGCAGTGTCTGTCTGGGCTACTTGTCAGTCCTGTCTCCCTTCACAGCTCCCTTGACCTAGAGGCCAGCGTCTTCCCATGGATGGCCTTCAAAACAACTGGCTGGCATATAATAAGAGGGGCACCTGTTGGAAGACTCCAGAGAAGGAAGGTATGGTCTCCTGGAACTTTTCCTGTGGTTTTGCCTTGGGAGAGAAGAGAACAGGAGGGAGATGCTGAGCAGAAACTAGTACCTTCCTGTGGGAGGGAGAGAGGCAAGATTGTGTCTTACAGTTTTCTCTTTGGGCTGTGACCTTGGACATGTTACTGGCTTGGGCTCTGCTGTTAGGAAATGGGCAAGTCTTCGGCAGATGCCCCTGTGGGCCCACTGGGGGCCAAATCTTGCACAGTTTGAGGCTTGCTTAGAGTCCTAGAACTCTAGATCTTTTGCTCTTATATCAACCCCAAGGAAAAAGGATCTCTGGAAATGCTGCCCCTTGCAAAACGGTATAGTAGTAGCTTTCCAGAGCAGACCAGACTCAGGCCATGTGACTGATGAAAAGGGTCCTAGGGCCCCTTGCCCTCCCCAGCCCTGCTCACCAGCCATAGACTATGCCTGCTTTGGAAGCTCAACTGTGGGATTGTGCCAGCAATAAACTTCTGGATGGTCACTGTCGGAATGGCCCTGGAGAAGGGGGAGGATCAAGGGCAAGAAATCACCAAATGTGTCTCCTCAGCTCATCAGAGGGCAGGAGTGAGCCCAAACTTTGGAAGTTCAGATTTAGAGAATGAGACAAATGATCCTTCACAGCTCGAATAGATGAGACAGCTCTGCACACAGGGGACATCACTCAGACTGAGCCCTCTCACAAAGCTTCCCCTGAGTTCTCAGCAGCAGCTCTGGGGACAGCAACGCTACTGGAAAGAAAATATGTGTTCCCAATAAACTTACAGATACCAATTTATCAACCACATTCCCCTAATACACATTTCTCTTCTCCTTTTCCTCCATCTCCATTGCCTTAATATTCATTCTGTCTTCTCCCCAAATCTCAATCTCTATCGCTGTTACCTGTCTCTGTCTCCGTTTCTCTCTGTGTATCTGTCTCTCTGTTTCCTTCTTTTTCTCTCTCTCCACATTCCCTGTCTTCACCTTGTTCTTATGCTTGTTCTTGTGCCCAGGGCCAGAAAAGGGATCCAGCCAGGTGACTGTGTCTCACTCATCCCAGTGCCTTAAGGTTCCCAACTCCCTAGAATCTAGTGTATTCTCATTGCTCTCTACACCCCGACACTCTGCCTCAGTACCTCATCAGCCGACCTTTCCTGAGGGCTCCCTACAGACCTCATAAGGTATCTTCCCAGGTCCTCCAGAGGCCATTTTTATCTACATACTCCCACCTATTTCTGTGATTCTGCTTCCACTGGTTCTGCTGGGTGCCCTTGGGAAATATTCTCCAGAGTCCAGCTGGGCTCCTGGCACTGCCAAGGGATTCCTCAAGAGGGCACTGCCAGACTTCTTGGTGGCAGCCTGCTGCTGTACTGGGTGCCTGCGGGAACAATGCAGGATTGTATGAAACTCGTAAACAGTTTGCTTCATGCAATTCTGATGGTACCTCAGAGAATCTGGTCCCCCTTGATCATAGCTTGGTTTGATTGTGCAGCTTTCTTGCAAATAACTCAAAAACACTTGGATATTACCTCCACTCTCTGCTCTATGATCCCATAGTATCAGATTATTGAAGGCCACAGAACAAGTGGGTTCTCCTTGCTCCATTGCGTAGACTGAACTCTGAAACTCAGAGAAGTCCGGTGAATTTCTCCCAGTAAAAACTAGATAAGGGCTCAAGTGCCCAATCTAGTGGCCCACTTCTCCCTGAGCACAGAGAAGAGCATAAAGGGGAAGAGAGAAGGCACAGTACCAGTGAGAGCCTGGGGTCATCTGCTATCATTTGGGCTTCTAGAGCTGAGGCTTTGCTTCTCATTCCCAGGATAATGCCTTCCCAGACCAAATTTTGGAAGGCAAGTGGCTGCGTCTTACAGCTTTCCTAGCCCTGGCATAGAAGACTGGCTGGTTGGCAGGCAGGCAGTATATTATGTCCTATGTACTTGTGGCTAGAACTTTCCACACCCAACTTCATGCCGATTGGCTAGACTATGCCTTTCTGGCCAAGAGAACCGTGGGCTGAGGGCCAGAGATGTCACATACTTTGAGCTGGCAGACAGGGGTAGAGAGTGGAGGGTGATCTTCTGCCTTTCCTGAAGGTTCAAGGAACAGTGTGAGGATGGATAGGGGCAGGCCATGAGGGGTATTTGTGATGGGGAGATGCCTGTGGCTTGGGATGGAGTAAAGAGTAGCCTGGAAGCCAAAATAATCACATGAAAAATCTCAGGTAAAGAATGCCCGAGGAGCACCACATAGCTACTAGCAATGTGAAGAAACAAGCTGTCCACAGAACCCACCTCCACCACCATAAAAACTTGGCCAATTTTTGCAGGGTTGCCCCTACAGAGAGGGTGCTTGTTTGATGTGATTTCTGAGCAAAGTAGAAATAAAACTAGTATTATTTCTGGGGAACCAATGTTATTTGTTCAACTTGACTGATGGGATACCGAAACAACTTTCCCAATGGCACCTAGCAAGCAAAGACCAGAGCCATCTCTAGAGAATGCCTGTCTCCAGACTCTTATTGCTTGGGAGATTGTTCTGCTGTGAAAGAATGTGTGAATAGAGAGCCTTTGCCCTGAGCAACAACAGCCGGGGGCCAGGGGGAGGATGGACAAGCTTCAGGCTGCTGTAGCCCAAGTTTTCAACCTTCTACACTTCTCAGGTTAAGTAGGAGGCCCCTGTTTGAAACCCAGGGCAGAGGCAAACTTCCTGCAGTTTGTGGGATCAGTGGGATTCCAAATTAGTCAGCAAAAGTGAGTGGAGATTAGAGGATATTAAGGACTTTTTGTTCTATTTCTTGGGTGTGATAATAACAAGGTGATTATGCTTTTAAAAGGGTCATTATCCACTAGATATGAATACAGAAATATTTATAGATAAAATGTTATGATACCTGGGGTTTTCTCACTCCAGAAAATTTTAGTGTAACAAGGTTAGATGAAATAACATTGGTCAAATACTGCTAATTATTAGGAGATGGGTACATGGAGGTTTATTATACTATTTCCTCTACTTTGTGCATAATTGAACAGAAAAGAGAAGCCATCAGAATTATGCTTCAGGCTGATCCACAAGGGAAAAAAAAGGGTGGGCACAGTGGCTCACACCTATGATCCCAGCACTTTGGGAGGCCAAGGCTGGTGGATTGCTTGAGTCCAGGAGTTTGAGACCAGCATGGGAAATACAGTCAGACCCTATCTCTACAAAAAAAATTTAAAATTTGAGCTGAGCATGGTGGCACATGCCTGTGTCCCCAGCTACTTGGGAGGCTGAAGTGGGAGGATGGCTCGAGCTCAGGAGGTTGAGGTTGCAGTGAGCCATGATCCTGCCACTGCATTTCAGCCTGGGCTACAGAGAGAGGCTCTGAAAAAAAAAGAAAGAAAGAAAGAAAGAAAGAGAGAGAGAGAGACAAGGTGGGAGGGAGGAAGGGAGGGAAGCAAAAATATATATATTTCCAAGAGAAATCTCTGATGTTTCTGTAAGGATGCCTATAGCCTGCTAAGAGTGACAGCCTCTAGGGAAGGAAATTGGGGGTGTGGAGTGGGAGGGAGACTTTTCACTCCATGCCCTTTAGTATGGTTGGAATTTGTAATTTTATGCATTTCTGACTTATTCTATTGAAAATCTCATTTGAAAAGTCCGTCAGGGTAGGTTGAGTGACAGAAGTCCGCAGGCCCCTCAGGGTCTACTCATAATCCACTGACCTCAGGTGGATCATGAGAGTGACGCAGTCGCCGTGGCAGGTTAGCTAGCCTCCACTGTCCTCACACAAACATCCACTCTGCCTACCCCCTTCTGCCTGTGTCTCTGAAACACTGATCTATTGTGAAATATAGGCTGCCCCTAGCCTGAGGAGAAGACTCCTGGGAACCTCTCTGGAGGCACAGCTAGATGGGGAAGAATAGTTGCTGCTCCCTGTGGGAGGGGAAGATATGAACCCTTGAAAGCCAGAGAGGTCCTTAGCCCAAGAGGCAGCCTCCCAGGAGAACAAGCCCCCTCCTTGCCCATCTACTGACCCCACAAAGACTGAGAACTACATCTGTCTCTGAAGGTCCCGGCTTTGGCAGCTGCCCAGGCCTCCTTCTTTCAAAGTCACTGCCCAGAGCAGCCTTTTAGAGATGTGATTCCACCCGCTCCAACATCATCATCATCATGATCATCATCACCATCATATGCTGTCCCTTTCAGTGAAACCAGGCCAAGCCCTTCATCTCTGGTTGCTTGACTGGTTGAAAGGTGTCACTCTGGGCTGTGGGTGACACTTCAAATCAAAGCTGGACTCCTATGGAGCAGATTGTCTAACACTGAGGTCGGAGTACCTTCCTTGACAAACCGCCAGCAGCCAAGATGGAGAAGAAGGGGAACCTTGGTGCTCCCTGATGAGAGCTGCACATTCCCAGGTAAGCACAGATTATGTTGCTGGAGCTTACAGCAAATACCCCACACAGAGACCTGCCCCGCCCCTGCTTCTTAGCTGAGGCTCACCATCCCCGCTTCCTCCTCCTCCCTCTTGGTCAAGCCCAGGAGGAGGCCTGGGCAGCTGCTCTCCCCACCACCATGCGCCCAAGTGACAGCCTATATCCTGGCACATGGAGGGAAGAGACTTGCTGCCTCCTCTTGCCTCTAAGTAGGATAGAGCAGTTTGGACCTTGGGGAGCCCCCACCCTCCAAATATTCCTTCCTGAGGAACTCTGTTGCTACGGGTTTTCTCTGTGATAGCCAGGAGTTCATGTCAGGCACTGGGACCTGGAGCTGAGGCTGTCTGCAGGCTCTGCTGAGCTGTCGCCTACCTCCAGCCCCCACAGTAGGGAGGGGTTAATGCATCCTGCATCCTGGCCTGCCCTTCCCTAGGCTGTGCACACCCTGGCACTCAGAGAAAAATGGTTTCTTTTTTTAAGCACAATTAGTTCAAAACCATAAAGTCTAAGAAGCGATTCCCCCTAAGGACCCTCCAAAGAGGGTTTTACATGCTCCTTAGGTTATCCTTGAAAATCCTTCAAAATTTATAAAGCACTGCAATTATTTCCACAGGCTGAATCCAGCAGTTCTTGGAAGGGTTTCAAAGGGTACAGTGGCAGCAGCTCCCTGTAGCCTCTTCTCCTTCTTCACAGCAGAAACCTTCAAAAGAAAATCCAACCCTCACTGGATGTCCTCTCCACCCTGACTCTACTGCTGCTGCCTGTCCATAGAGGGTCCACTCAGTTCTTTGCCCAAGAGACCCCTTCCAAGAAACTGGCTTTAGAGAGAGCCACTAAACCTAAGCTACAAGCCTGAAGAGCCAATAGAGCTCTCCATTATGGGAGGCAGGAGCTGTTCAGCTGTCCTCAAATGTCCTCAAAAGGGGCGACATGGAGGTGGCTAGTGGATATCGCGGTGGAGCTGGCTGTCCCAGTGAGAGCTGAGTTTGGAGAGAATGGTTATTCCTGGGCTTCCTGGAAATAACTATCCTCTTCCACTGATAAGTTATAACTGAGCAAGGGGGAAGTTGTTAGAATTGCAGCATGAAGAATTTTAGCTAGACATCAAGTGGGCCATCCAGATGATCAGGGCTCTCTATGAGCAGTGGAATACAGTAGTTAATAACATAGACTCTAAAGTCAGGCACAATTGGGCTTGATATCAGCTCCACCAAATACCGGCTCTGTGACTTTGTGTAATGATTTAACTTCTCTGAGTCTTCATTTTTTCATCTCTAAAAAAGGAATAATAGCCGGGCGCAGTGGCTCACGCTTGTAATCCCAGCACTTTGGGACGCTGAGGCAGACGGGTCACCTAAGGTTGGGAGTTCAAGAACAGCCTGACCAACATGGAGAAACCCCGTCGCTCCTAAAAATACAAAATTAGCCAGGCATGGTGGCGTATGCCTATAATCCCAGCTACTTGGGAGGCTGAGGTGAGAGAATTGCTTGAACCTAGGAGGCGGAGGTTGCGGTGAGCCAAGATCATGCCATTGCACTCCAGCCTGGGCAACGAGAACGAAACTCCATCCTCAAAAAAAAAAAAAAAAAAAGAAGGAATAATAATAGTGGTGACTTCACAGGTTATTAAAAAGATTATACAAGGCCGAATGTGGTGGCTCACGCCTGTAATCCCGGCACTTTGGGAGGCTGAGGTAGGAGGATCACTTGAGGTCGAGAGTTCAAGATCAGCCTAGTCAACATGGCAAAACCCTGTCTCTACTAAAACTATAAAAATTAGCCAGGTTGGGTGGGCGTGGTGGCTCACACCTGTAATCCCAGCACTTTGGGAGGCCGAGGCGGGCAGATCAGGAGGTCAGGAGATCGAGACTATCCTAGCTAACACAGTGAAACCCTGTCTCTACTAAAAATACAAAAAATTAGCCAGTAGTGGTGGCAGGCACCTGTAGTCCCAGCCACCCGGGAGGCGGAGCTTGCAGTGAGCCAAGATCGCACCACTGCACTCCAGCCTGGGCGACAGAGCGAGATACCGTCTCAATAAAAAGAAAAAAAGAAAAAAAATTAGCCAGGCATGGTGGCGCACGCCTGTATTTCCAGCTACTCAGGAGGTTGAGGCACAAGAATCGCTTGAACCCGGAAGGCAGAGGTTGCAGTGAGCCGAGATGGTGCCACTGCACTCCAGACTGGATGACAGAGTGACTCTAGCTCAAAAAAAAAAAAAAAAAAAAAAAAATAGATTACAAAAGATACTGAAGATAAAATTCTTACCATAATGCCTATGCTCAAGTATAATAACAATAATAATAATAATAATCACCAAATGGGGTGACAGAGTATCTCTGCAAATGTTTGATAAGCATTTAAAAAATAGAGGCTGAACTTTAGTGATCTCTAGAACCAACACCTTTCAGATCTAGGATTCCTATACTTCCCCTGAACCTGCCTATCTTTAAAATGGAGCCTAGGATATGTGCTTGGAAGAAATGTTGAGACTTTTGAGACACACCTAGCAGTTTCTCTGTGTATTTGTTGTCTTCCAACATCTCCAGCACCTCTGGGTATGTCCATCACTAGGGTGACCAATCACCAATTATCCCAGTTTGCCAGGAACAAAGAGATCCCAAGATGTGGGACTTTCAGTGCTAAAAATGGGTACGGCCTGAGAAAACCAGAACAAGTTGATCAGCCTACACCAGCACTGGAACACTGCCTTAAGCATTGTGCTTGAAGCAGTTGCCTCAAGGGCTGACAACAACAAAAGCAGGTGTTAGGTTCCCCTTGCTGAAACCACTAAATGGGAAATCCCAAAAGCCCCCCATTCCTCTGCTCTTTAAAATATCATGCCCAGGCAAGTAGGGTTGTCAGATAAAATACATGATGCTCAACTCAATTAAATTTGACTTTCAGATAAACAATGAATAATCATTTAAGTATATCCGAAATACTGGATGGGTCATACTTATACTGAGAAATTGCTCATTGTTTGTCTGAAAGTCTAATTTAACTGAGTGCCTTGTATTTTTATTAGTGAATCCAGCAGCCCTACAGGCAAGGGCAGTCTGCCGTGGCAAGACAAGCTGGCTTTTGGGGTGTGAGCCAAGAGAATGGCTAGGGAAATCTCACACAGGAAATCATGTTCCCTATGGACACATCTTCTTCTCTGCATCTCAGCCCTCAATCTCTTCATCTTGTGGGCCTGCCCCGGGCACCCCAGTCATGCTTTGTTCTGGGGAGGATCATTTGGGGCAAGGCAAGATGAGATGGGTCCTGAAGCAGGCTACATAATCCATAATGGTTGGGAGTTTAGGCTTTGTAGCTAGCCAAATTGGGTTCATATCCCGCCTCAGCCTGGGACATAGCACAGTAAATAGCAATTCCCTGTTAATACTTAGAGGCTGCCAGGCATAGTGGCTCACACCTATAATCCCAACACTTTGGGACGCCTAAGGGAGGAGGATCACTTGAGGCCAGGAGTTCAAGACCAACCTGGGCAACATAGTGAAACCCCCGTCTCTACAAAAAATTTAAAGATTAGCTGAGTGTCGTGGTGTGTGCCTGTAGTCCCAGCTACTCAGAAGCTGATATGGGAGGATCACTTGAGCCCGAGTGGTCGAGGTTGCAGTGAGCCCTCATTCCACCACTGCACTCCAGCCTGGGCAAAAAAGTGAGACCCTCTCTCAAAAAACTCTCAAAAAAAAAAAAAAATTACTTAGTTGATGACCTTTGTCTTTTCTTTTCTCTTCTTATCCTGTGTCTAGCACTTTGCCAGACATCGAGGGAAATATAAAGAAATGGGATGGTTTCCGGATGCAACCTTTGTTCTGAGAGAGCTTACAGCCTCCTCTGGAAGGAATACTACAGACGTTAACAAAATGAAGATTCAAACACAACTAACATTGAGCACCTACTCTGTGCCTATCCTGACCTAAGTGCACAAGCAAGCCAAATGTCAGCAGAGTGTCATCCTGTCCATCCAGTGCAAATATAATTGGTTCAAGCTCCATCTTATCCCTTACCAGGGAAGTCCAGTGTCTTCCTCAAGATTTCTGAGAATTCTGAGAGGGCTCAGAATTCCATGTGGTTCTGAATTTGGGCTCCTAAGGAACTTCTGATTTCGGTTCATCTTTTACGGCCACTACCGTCCGATTTCTTTTTCTTTCCCTTCTTTCTTTCTTTTTTTTTTTTTTTTGAATCGAAGTCTCTCTCTGTCACCCAGGCTGGAGTACAGTGGTGCAATCTCGACTCACTGCAGCCTCCACCTCCCGGGTTCAGTTCAAGTGATTCTTGTGCCTCTGCCTCCCAAATAGCTGGGACCACGGGCGCGCCCATAACTCCCGGCTAATTTTTGTATTTTTAGTAGAAGACGGGGTTTCACCATGTTGGCCAGGCTGGTATTAAACTCCTTATTTCAAGTGATCTGCCCTCCTCAGCCTCCCAAAGTGCCGGGATTACAGGCTTGAGCCACCGCGCCCGGCCTTATTTCCTGATTTCTATTAAAAAACAAAAACAAAACAAAACAAAACAAAAAACAGGCTGGACGTGGTGGCTCATGCCTGTAATCTCAGCACTTCAGGAGGCCAAGACAGGAGGATCTCTTGAGTCTAGGAATTCGAGATCATCCTGGGCAACACAGTGAGGCTCCTGTCTCTACAAAAAAATGAAAAATTAGCTGGGCATAGTGACATGCACCTCTGGTCCCAGCTACTTGGGAGGCTAAGGCAGGAGGATTGCTTGAGCCCAGGAGTTCAAGGTTACAGTGAGCTATGATCGCACTCCAGCCCGGGGAACAGAATAAGATGCTCATCTCTAAAATAGATAAATAAGTTTTTAAAAGACCTTAGACCTAAGTTAGCTGTAAATAATCTTTGGATGTCTGGACACTTTCAAAAAGAAAAAAAAAATGGCTACATAGGTTTATGGGTTTTTTTAATGACTATCAACTAACAAAAAATACAAAAGCCTCTGGATAATATTTTGTATATATTTTGCCTCCTAAAGCTGTAAAATTATATTAACTCATTGTGGAGGAAAAAAGCCAAATAATTTTTACTTTTCTGTTCTCTAGTTTTCTCTTGTGACTGAAAAAAAGTTGGTTATTTTAATTAAAAATAATAATAAAAATGGTTATAGTATGTATAACAACTACAGAGAAATATAAATATGTATGTAAGATAATGACTATTATTTTTATTCACCTTATTAACAAAGTTGTTATAGTTTATTCACATGATTGGTATGATATATATTATTTTATTTAACATACCGATAAGGTAATTCTGTTTAAAGCTAGTTAAAAGCTTTAGATGATAACCTCTTTTTATATTTATATATCTACGTATGCATAAATGCATACATAAAGATATATTAATAAATTTTTTACTACAAATTGTTATATTAATAATGTGCCAAAGGAGTAAAATTAGAATTTGAGACTTTTTTATGTGAAATTGTTACCAAACAGAACTTAAGTCCACCTGCCCCGTGCAGTAAGTCCAAACACTGACACTGGGATTGCATGGAAAGAGAGGCCTTTATTACAGGGCGCCAAGCAAGGAGAATTGGGAAGCTAATGCTTAAGACCGGAACTCCAGGATAGCTTACAGGTAAGGATTTTTAAAGGCGGGGTGGCAGAGGTTACAGGCAAAGTCATAAATCAATACATAAAGGCTACATATTGGTCTGACCTTAAACACAAGACATATTGGTCTGACCTTAAACACAAAACACTTCGAAGCAGGGGCCCACAGATGGATTCAAAGATTTTCTGATTTGCAATTGGTCAAGGAGATGAAGCCTTGTCTAAAAATGTGGTGTCAGCCAGCCTGGGCAACATAGTGAGACTACCTCTACAAAAAAATTTTAAAAATTAGCTGGGCATGGTGGTGCATGCCTGTCGTCAAAGCCACTCAGGAGGCTGAGGTGGGAGGATCACTTGAGTCTTGGAGGTCGAGGCTACAGTGAGCCATGATCATGCCACAGCACTCCAGCCTGGGCCACAGAGTGAAACCTTGTTTTAAAAAAATGGGGGTCGGGGGAATCAGCAGAAAAGAATATTAGCTCTGGCTTTTGAGTGTGACCTCCTCCAGGCCCCTCAGGAAGAAATGTAAAACAAAGAACAACAGCAGAATTCAGTTCTCAGTTCCTATCTATCTGAGGTCTGCGTGTCAGTGGATCTGTTTGGTGGGGGTCCAAGTTTCTGAAAAACAACTCAGGGACATATGTTAAGATGTTATCTTTAGTTTCTATAGGGGAATCAAACATCCTGTGATTCCAACTTCCTTGGCTATTGTTTTAAGCTACTATTATATTATCTTCCTGTTTATTAAGTTGCTTATTTACTAGCTAAGTGCCTGGAATTTCCCTCAAAGGAACCCAAGACTTTTGTTTATTTCTATGCTTGGGGGCCTGCAGGCCCCTAAGAGGGATCCCTGCTCCATCTCAGAATGACTAAATTATTTTATGCCCAGACTAGTAGAGGTTTCTTTTTGTCACCAAACTATTGTTAACTCTCAGAGCTTTGCAAAATATTCTAAAGACATTTATAAGAGTCTTTATTTTTAAACAAAAAGCTAATTTTCCAATAGGCACTGCTTATTGCTTAGTGATTTTACAATGTTGAATACAAATATTTCTCACTTTAGATGTTTATGACTTGTACCTTGTCCTTTCTAACAACTATTAATTTTGCCTTTCTTAAATGCAAAATAATACAACTATTAAGATGTCTTTTATGCCTAAACTATATTTGAGTTTCCTAAAATAGCCATGAGATGACACAAAAATTTGCCCTTTCACCCTATTAAAGAAAGGGCAATAAGAATAATTAGACGTCTGTAAATTTTTCCAACTTTTTTTTTTTTTTTTTTGAGACGGAGTCTTGCTCTGTCGCCCAGGCTGGAGTGCAGTGGCTGGATCTCAGCTCACTGCAAGCTCCACCACCTGGGTTTACACCATTCTCTTGCCTCAGCCTCCCGAGTAGCTGGGACTACAGGCGCCTGCCACCTCGCCTGGCTAGTTTTTTGTATTTTTTTTTTAAGTAGAGAAGGGGTTTCACCGTGTTAGCCAGGATAGTCTCAATCTCCTGACCTCGTGATCCGCCCGTCTCGGCCTCCCAAAGTGCTGGGATTACAGGCTTGAGGCACCGCGCCCGGCCCCAACTTTTAATTAAGTCAAACTCTTATGAAAACTTCGTCTACCAAATTTAGTATAAAATAACCTGACAAATTAAAAATAGAATTTATCATCTGGAGATAAGTAAAAGATGGAAATATAAATGTCTTTCAATGATTAAATACTTTTCAAGTTAAAAAAAATCATATTTAAGCACAATAACTGATATAATACCTGTCTACCAAAAGATTTTTTTCCAAGATTTCAGATTCACAAGCCCCTTTCCCTTGTTTTGTTCATAAAGTTTCTGGGTAGGTGCTAAGGGTACTAACTTACTGTCATGAGAATTGTCAGAGGTATATTGCTTATTTCAGGCTTTCATTAGATCCATTAGCTCAGGCATAGCTATTTTGTCTAAAAGTTATAACAGTAATAGCAAAACATGTAAAAACTTTAGCTTAGTTCTAGAGCTCCACTAAATGTAACAGTTACCCATGCTGTGCAAACTCTTCTATTGACAAAAACTGCTCAACACTTTTTAGCACATTGCCTAACCTCCTAGGAAATATAATTGTTTTCCCCTTCACACTGTCTGTGGTTGTGACACTCTAAACTCAGGAATGCTTCTTCATTGACTTGAAGAAGAAACAATCTACATTGCTTATTTCTGTTAGAGAATTCCCCATACCCTACACAGACCTTCAGAGACACCAGCCTGCTTTGCAAGAACTGTTTACTAAAAAAATCTGTCAACTTTGAGGAATACAAAATGGGCTTACTCCTCTTGTCATAAATGCTGATAACACTTTTGCTCCCAATATAGTCTGTATTCTACTAGGGTACTACTTCATATGTGGACATCAGGCGTCAATGTTACACCCTAACTTAGGCTGCAGGTTTAGCATAGTTTTTAGACTTTCAGATATTTAAAATTACCACTCCTTCAGAGGATCATGTTTCTCTAAAAATAATTTTTCAAATTATCCCAAAATTGCCCAATTACCTCCAAAAGGAGGCACACAAGGCTGCTTTGAAGAACACCTAGATTGCCTCTTCATGCACATTATGCAAGCAGTGATTCCCACATTAGAAATAATACAACTAGGCCAGGCGCGATGGCTCAAGCCTGTAATCCCAGCACTTTGGGAGGCCGAGGTGGGCGGATCACGAGGCCAGGAGATTGAGACCATCCTGGCTAACACAGTGAAACCCCGTCTCTACTAAAAATACAAAAAAAAAATAGCCGGGCGTGGTGGCGGGTGCCTGCAGTTCCAGCTACTCGGGAGGCTGAGGCAGAAGAATGGTGTGAACCCTGGAGGCGGAGCTTGCAGTGAGCCGAGATAGCGCCACTGCACTCCAGCCTGGGCGACAGAGCGAGACTCCGTCTCAAAAAAATAAATAAATAAAATAAAAAATACAACTAGCAAAAATGGTTCAAAATGTGTTTCTTACCCTAGCAAAAGTCCTAAATAACATAACTTTTAATCCCAAGCCCAGTAAAATATTCTAAATTTAGTAGCTAGGATTGTTATGAACAACCACATCATCCTTGATTTCCTCTTAACTAGTCAAGGGGAATTTTATGCTATAGCAAATACTTCTTGCTGCACCTATGTACTACGAGATAAGTAGAACAGCTGAAAAATAAAGCCATTTGTTTCCTGGACTAATAATCATTTTGTTTTTGATAATAGTTAGTAGTACAGTTGGCTCACCTGTCCTGCCAAAGTTTCAAGTGCTACTGCACAAACATTGTCTTATTAGAGTAGGCAACAACTCATCCTGCAACATAATGAGCAGAACAGACTTATTCTAGTCCTACTACAAATTACATCCTCCTTTTTTTTTCCCCCCCCCAAGACAGGGTCTCACTCTGTCACCTAGGCTAGAGTGCAGTGGCATGATCCCAGCTCACTGCAACCTCTGCCTACCGGGCCCATGTGATCCTCCCACCCCAGCCTCCCAAGTGGCTGAGACTACAGGCAAAAGCCACCACGCTCGGCTAATTTTTTGTATTTTTGTAGAGATGAGTTTTCGTCATGTTGCCCAGGCTGGTCTCAAACTCCTGAGCTCAAGCAATCTGCCCGCCTCGGCCTTCCAAAATGCTGGGATTACAG